AACCTTCACTATAATTTGAAAGGTCATTCCATTAACTTTTGAGACACGATTGTAGTTGGACAATCATTTTGCCCTTTTGCTAATAATTTTGTGGGAAAAGAGTTTAGACTGTGAAGCAATCTTAACTGCAATCTTGAAGAGTTGTTCATGTCAACATTAGAGGCATGGTTGTCTTAGGGTACTCCCTTTGCCTTTTACTGGATTTTCATTAGTTATAAGAAAAATATATTAATATTGAGAGCTAATTTTGGTTACATCATTAAGAAGATAAAGTACCGAGCATGGTTACATTTTGAAGACTCTTTTCTTTCTATCATCTATCCATTTCATGGAAAATAAATTGTGATGGGAGGTAACTCTAACTACAGCCTTTAAGAAAATTTTGTATTAACATCTTGGATGCAATCTCAAATAAGCAAGTTACGCCATTCAATTTCCTTCAGTGCAACCAAGGCAACCTAGTTGGCCCCAACAAATTTAAAAAAATTAATAAAAAAATTAAGCTCTATATATAGTAATTAGTTGGGTTGTTACTCTTTGGAGGAGAATGTAGCTATGGCCTCAAAGGGGCAATAAAGGTCTAAATGCAGACTAATTTTATCCTTGACACGGGATGCATGCAATATTTGTTCATTATAATCAAGGTACAATCGATACCAAGAGATTGAATTAAGTCTCTTTTATATAGTTTAATGTCATCGAGTAACAATTCGATGAACAACTTTATACAGGTCAAAAATCTATAATGAATTTCCTTTGATTTTTTTTTTCACATAAATTAATCTCATCAAGTAATTTTCCGATAAACAATGTAGGATAGGCCAAAAATTGTTGATGAATGTTCTTTGATCTCTTTTATATCGGCTAACATTGTTAAGTAACATTCTGACAAATAATCTCAAATGGATCAGATATCTTTCATGGATTTCTTACATCGACTTTATCGAGTGATACTTTGACGAATAGTCTTGGACAAATCAAATATTTTTGGTGAATTTTCTTAAACTCTTTCACATAATCTATTGTTGTCGATTAATACTTTGATAAATAGTTCTGGATAGATAAATTTGTAGTGGATTTTCCTTGACCTCATTTATATATGCTAATGGTAACAACTACTCTACAAATAATCTCAGATAAGTTGAAAATTTTTAGTGGACTTCCTATGACTTCTTCAACACAAGTCAATATCATGCGATTACTCTAGCAAATGACTAGACAAATCCAAAGTCTTTAATGGATTTCTCTTGATTCCTTTCACACATGATGACATCACTGAGTCGCACTATGATACACAACCTCATCTAGGATAAATATCTTTTGCATATTTCTTTTAACATCTTTTGTCATGGGTGACATCCCATATTAACTACTCAAGGAGTATAAATTTAATATGAAGAACCATTCATGACGTTTCTTATGGCCCTCTTAAAATCACAATATTGATACATTTTATTGCTTTTATGACAAAGCTCCAGCTATAATTTCATTTGGGAGAAAAGATAAGTTAATATATGATTCACTCCCTGCAAGGGGCAAGTACTTAAAAATCTAAAATATTCTTACATATAGATTGGGATTTCTTGAATTATCATATTTTATTCAATAATTTAATTTTGAATTTCGTTAAGTATCCATAATTTGGACAAAAATGAACATATATTCATGGGCAATAAAAATAAAAGATTTTTTTTCAAAACAATAAACATAGCTGCTGAATTTTCATGAGTTCACAATTCTCTATTTCAATATCACTAAATTTTTTTGAGATATATTATAGCCTTTAAGCTCTATATAAGCTTTCATCAGATACTCTTTTCCTCAATGTTTTTTGTTTCTGTGAAGTATTTGTCTTAATGATTTTTGATTTCAAATTATTCTAATGATATCAAAACCTATAATGATGCTTTGCGCTATCAACGTTGGCATTCAACATCATTATTTTCCAATAAGTGGTCTTTTCTTTCTCAAATTTGTTGACATTAACGTCAATGTCAAACTAAAAATTTAGTCTATATGAGGAATATAGTGAACAGTTCTTTCAAAGGAAGATTGGAGCCTCGCCATAAAAAGTATGACTCTTGATCACATCCAAAACTAGATCGATCAGGCTAGGGTGCAACACTTGTTTCAAGGAGATATTCTTGTCTCGATGTAGAAATTATGGATCATGATCTTCTTCAAATCCAATCTTTTTATGAAAGATAACCTTGTGCTTTTGCTAGTAATGCACTAATACTTACAAAGGGGAACTACATTTTACTTAAGCATATAATGTTTAACATCTATTAAGAGAAGAAACTAGAGCCTACAAGAGGAGAAAATAACATGTTTAATTTTTCAAACCCACCAAGGGTATTTATATATAAAAAAATAGGTATAATCAACAAAGACTATAGATATGATATCTTTAGTATTCAATGCCCCATAAAATTTTATTGAATTGTGATATTGTATAAGAATCGTCTGGAACTGTCAGTATTAAAATATCATATGAAAGTTGTTCAGTAAGGGATAATGTTAAAATCATTCTTAAATTTGTTAATTCAAGATAATTTTTTTCTCTTGCTATAGGAGCACTAAAGCCAGGATGATGCACGTGATGGTGTTGAGCCTTAATATAGAGGAAGTTTGGAGTTTGTGAAAAGGAATTAAACACCGCTTATACAAAATAGTATAGAACCTCTCTAAAAGAAATATTGAAGCTTGCAAAGAGAAGAGTGAAGAGTGAGTTTCCCTAGTTGATGGGATATTTATAACTAAAAATCATGGGTGTTGTATCAATAGTATGGGCGCTTTACTTGCTTATGTGCGTCGCCACTTACATACATGTGCACACTAACGTATCCCTCCGTCCACAGTTGCACCCCTGTGCGTGCACATGCCTACATACGTAGGTGTGGTGCTTATGTTATCGTGCATGTGTTTGCACCCTAGTTAGTCCTTGTACACGCGTGCATGTTGTTGCCAATCATGACAGTGACCCAACCTATCCAAGGTCTCATCATGTTTACTACACATCTCGACATTTCAAACTTAATTTTAATGCTTTCGTAACTCAAAGGTGTATTTACAATAATTTTTTGAGTAATTTAAAGAATATGAATATTTTTTATAATTTTTTATTCAATCGACATTTCGATTTCATAAATATTTGAAGTTATGATCGATGAAACTTGATTTACAATTTTATTGAGAGGTCCGCCTTGATAACTATGGAGTGGTCATACTTTGTAATGTGTCAAAAATTATAATTTTGAGATGCAAATTTTTTAATAACTTACCATGTATTTTTGGATGACATAAATTTTTACTTGCAAAAAATTGGGGAACAATTATTATATCAACAAACAATCTAGATAATCAAGCAAGAATCTCAAGGCTTATTTGAATTAATTTCAAATTAGGGATCATCTATGCTCTAGTTTCAACAAATTTATAATCAAAATGAACATCTCGACAAAACTAATCTCATGGCACTAAAGGAGATTCAATTTAAGTTCTAATGAGCCCAAATCGAGCATTCGTAGTATAATTGGAAGCATCAAAATATTAATGAAATGTTAAACAATTTTCAAATTTAATATGTTTATTGTCAAACAGAGCGTCTCGATGATAAACATCTAACAAGCCCAAGATTATTTAATTGTGAGACTATTAAGACGCTACAATAATGAATAATGATTTATGATCAAAAGAATCAACACAAACAATTCAATGAAGTATTTTGAGATTTTGATTAAATTTTTCAAAACATCACTCTTAAATGTAATAAATAGACATCATCCTCTATATGTGAAAAGAAGAACTGAAAACTAAATCTGCACGTAAAAAGAGCTGAAACTTGTCTACCAGTAACAATTGTCGACACTATTTATGACCATTGTAAGCCAAATATTGTCATATGGCTTTTGTTGCCCGACTATTATCTTCAATTTGGTGCTACTTGATTATTATCTTCAGGTTGTTGTTCTCTGACAATTGTCAGTTTCTTTGCCATTGAGAATTTTCTAGCATGCAAAATTTTTTATAGTTTATGCCTGCTACATTAAATTAATGTCTTCTTCAAACAAGCAGAAAAGACCCACGCCTTGCACTGGTGCAATTATTTAACTTGAGTTTGACTTAATGATTATTGAGTTTTTCACATAAAATATTTCATGCCTCATATATTTTTTCTTTAATTTATTTATTTGTGTATGAGATTTTCATGCATTGTTTTAAGAAAAATTTCTCTCTGCCGCATAAACATTTCAACAGAAGAACTAACATTTCATTTTGTATTAAACAGTAAAGTAATAAAAATATTAATAATAAATAATGCAAAGGCATTTTGAAAGTCTTTATAACACACACACACACTCACAATGATTTAAGTATACTAATGTTGCTTTGAAAATTTCTTTTTTATAAAATGCTTTTAAGTTGTTTTTTCTTATTTTTCCTTTTGAAAACGGTGAAAACTTGGATCTACATTATCCATTTGGTGGTATAAACAAATTCAGATGTTCTTACATTCACCGATATAGGTATTTGGATAATTTTAGTGAACTGATTACAACTTAAATTCACCTTGATTATGACTGTGTTTTAACCTATTTATGAACTGGTGATGACTTGTTAGCATAACAAGAATGACTCAACAATAACTCGCTGACTCCAAAATAACTTGTTTGTGGATTATCATCTTATGGATGAGTTCTTTGGTTGGTTCATCCACAATTCAATTATTGAGCCTCAAGGAAAGTTAAAAAAATTTCATTTTGTAAACGTTCAAACTTAGCTGAGAGAATATTCCGTGAACTAAAATGATTATATGTCCAAGTTTGTATTTTCAAAGTCTTTTGTATCAAGACCTTCATTCTCTCAGCACCAGTAAAACTGATGCCCCCACCCGCCTTTTTTTACTGCTCATAATGAGTAGTAATCCATGATTTTTTTTTTTTTCATACTGATGACATGATTTGCATTTTCTTCATTTTCTCTGTGGCCTTTTGCAGCATCATCCAGATGTCAGCCGGGATCAGCAAGCTGGTGAAGTTTTCAAGAAAATTCACTTGGCATATGAGGTTTTCTTACTATTTCCTCTATTATTTCGAGTTAATTGATTATTTCAAAATCATATTTTGAATGTTGGCAATGATTAAAGGTGCACTTTTGTTTTTTTACATTCTGTTTGTCTTTTTAGAAAGTACCTTCGGCACTGAATATCATCCACTGGAATACTTTTTCTACTTGCTTTATTGCAGCGTTTCCTACTAGCTATCAAGGTTTATTCTCATGCCTTTTTTGTGTAAGGGCATCCTTTCACCTTTTTTCTCATTTATAGACGGAATTAAAGATTAAAAAGCTATTTTCACATCCATTTGTGTTTCCTGGTCCATTTATCTCAAAACTGATCACCAATATTTTTCTTTTGATGATTCTCTTGGGTTTTCAAAGGTGATATGGCACAACCGGTAACTTTTTTTTGTCTCAAAGGCTACTTTTTTTTTCTTTTATAAACAAGCAGATACAGGTCACAAGAGCTATATCAGGGGACATTTACATACCAACCACTTCTTATGTATTTGCATATTTAACTCCCAAAGTGTGTTTTTTTACATTTATACCCCCCAAATCATTCATATCACATAAAAAATACCACTCTTTTAACTTTTAAAAAGTGAAATACACCTTCTCATGCATAAGTATGGTACAATATATGAAAAAGTATATGTTTAGATTTTAGATGTATAAATTCATAGGAATTGAGCGGTATTTATGTAAATCTTCCTTATATCAAGCAAAAACCCTAACTGCCTTTCATCGATCAGGTGCTATCTGATGAAGTAAAGCGTGCAAGGTATAACCTGACTTACAGGTTCCCCGCTGTCCCTAACCAATCAAGGCGAAAGATCTACAATTGGGAAGAACTAAGGCAGCAGATGCACGCCAAAAGGCAGAAGAACAAGGATGATTCGTGGACCTATCAAGCCCAAAAGAACCAAGATACAACTTCCTACGAAAGAGAACCATTTGTCGAAGTCCTCCGATTCGCCTTCTTCGCTCTCTTCTTCATGCAGACCATCGGCTGTCGTGCGTCCCTCACGCTATGCGGAATCTCCGCTTTCCTTGACAGGCAATTGGATGCGGGGTATAAGATGGGGTATGTGATGGCTTGGTTTTTAGGAGGCAGGACAGGTATTTTACTTACCTTGTGCATATATTTCGCAAGCTGGTTGTGTGGGAAGAGTAGCAGCGGCATTGTTGCTTTGGTGGTGGTTGCTATGTGGATTGGGGCTAACGTAACCAGATTTGCTCCTCCTCTTCCTCAGGGTGCTGTTCTTACCTTGCTTTACATGTCCATGAAGCTGCGGCTTGATTCTGAGGGAACAAGGTAAGTAAGCACCATTGAATTTCTCTTTTTTTTTCTAACCGTATATTTTCTGTATATATCCGTGTGATTGGGAGCTGATAAAAAAAGAAAATATTTACTATATTTCTCAAAGTATTGCGTCTTTTTTTGGTATATGGTCGATGAAAACTCAACTTAAGTGAGGTTGAGTGAGACTAACCACGAGAATTGAAACAAATGGTGAAAGTTGAGATTGTGAGAAGGGGCATATTGATTTCCAAACTCAAATCCTTTTGAAAGTTGTAGCTTAATGCTATATGCCTCGAAAAAATTGGAGTAATTACATACATCCCCGCTCAATTCCTATGTATTTTTGCATCATGACATCTTATTTATCTATACATGAGAAGTTGTATTTACTTTTAAAAAGTTAAAATAGTGGTATTTTCTGTGTGATATGAAAGATTTGGAATATATATATGTAGAAGGTAAAGTTTAGACATTAGATATGTAAATACATAAGAATTTGGTGGTATGTATGTAAATGCCCCCAAAAAAATTCATGTTTATCTTGGATGATTTTATGAACTATGTGATAATATTAGCTTTTGATTTTTAGAATTATCTTTACATTGCATTTAGAATTATCTTTTTATGCTAAAGTTTAGCATAAATTTGTGGGATGTCTTTTATGTAACATATTCAAATTCATTCAAGGGTAAAATATCCAATAGGTTCTTACATCTTTTGTTTTGCTTCGAGATGGTTTATATTCCATCCCTCTCTTGCTTTTAAAGACGGCTAGCTCTGTCAATCTTCGAAAGATTCTTGAGTAAACTTGGAGGATGATGGTATTTTAATTATGAAAAAAATTATTTTATTTTAATTTTAATTAAAAAAATTAGCAAATCATCAATTAGTTAATGAAATATTTAAAATTGCGACCATTAACGTGAGGTGGGCCCGAACTTATTTTGGGCTCAATTTTTGCCTAAGCTTTTGTTAAGACCAACTCAAATTGGGCTTTATTCAGTAGCCCACTTTCTTTCTTCGTTCGCTAAAATTTAAGAATGGATATATATGTATATATATATTTCAGCTAGTCGCCTACATTCCATCGACCGTTGATTATTTACTCAACATAGTGTGTATGAAGAAACCAATAAAATGATTAATCTTGTTAACATTGCAAAGGATGTTCGGATAAGGTAAGTGATATTCTAATTGTCCTTGTATGCTTCTTAACAACCATCACTATTATACCTTGTGTTCATGAAATAAATAAGAGCATAAAATTATAAATATTTTTTGAAATTTTTATGATGTATATAAACTTTATTATATTTTCTTATCTTTGTATTGCATGGTTCTAACCATATTTTTTTTAATTAATCAGCAAAATTCAAGTCGAATAAGCCTTATTAACTTTCTCTTTGATTTTGTCAGAATTTTAATTGAGCCAAAAATAGATCAATTCAATGTAAAATAACAGTCTACTCAATATTCAACTCTTAAGTCATTATTCCTTAATTTGGAATTTGGTCAAATTTAAAGCACAAGTCCTCATCGATGTTGTCGGTGTGCAACAGTCGAACCGATGACCGTTGCTGCCAGCGTGCCATCGCCGACCGTCGCAGCCATAGTTGTTGTTACCAATTGTCATACTAACTGCGGCTCGCAGGCGGCCATTGCCGATGACTATCATTGTTTTCGGCCATCGCTATTAGCCACCGTCAATAGCCACCGTCCTAACGACACTCATTGGGTCGCTTGCAGCTTTTCTCGGCTACTAAATATGCATTACATTGTAATATACTATTTTTTGTGCAAGCCTAGAGAGAGGAAGAGAGAGAGAGAGAATTATCCACAAAAAAAATAATTTGGTTTGAATGTAAATGGTAAAATATTTTCTTTTAATTTTATAAAAAAATAATTATCTATAACTGCGTTGTTTGTCTCTTACAAAATAATATAGAATATCTTATACACCATAATTTATTTTCTTATATTTCATGCATATAATATACAAATTCTTGTAACAAGGCCCAGCAAATCTTCAGCAATAGCTTCTAAGCATGCACCTTTTTTTTTGTCTTTTTGTATTTATTTGTGATTTATAAATCACTTACAAATGGCTCTGTTGCATAGTTTCTGTTGAATTATGGCACTATACTTTTATTTTTTTTTTTCAAAATTTCGTTTTTTTTAAAATATTTGGAACAGCTTTCAGTAATTTTTTTTTATTTTTTTGAAAATAATATCCATAAATAATATTTTGCTTCTTTTTATCATCCGCATGTGGCAGCAAATCATAGTTAGATTTATCCAAAAGCATAGTCTCTGTCCATGATATTACAACAGAAAAAATTAAATAAATGTGGATATTTACATACATGCCACCCAATTCTTATGTATTTGCATATCCCATGCCTAAATTTTAATTATTACATTTATACCACCAAAATCTTTACACATGTTCAAGAAAGTGACATTTATGTAAAACTTGAATCTTTAGGGGGTTATATTTGTAAATACAAAAGAATTGAGTGGTATGTATGTAAATATTCTTAAATGAAGTAACCAAAAAAATTGTTCTTATTTGAAAGAAATATTAGTTGACGTGTGAAATCACCATATGGCGACTATATGGCTCTAAAAGTAATTTTGAGTATATATATCTTACAGTATCCTGAGTTACCCCTCATTGTTATTAAAATATTTTTATTACCTAAAGTCGACAATTACTATAACGCTGAAAGTGGATTAATTTCTATATAATAGAAGTTTACAAAGTCAAACACTTTTATAAATATTTTTAATGAAAATAATAATAATTTGCATGAAAAATGTTAGTGTTTAGTTAGAATATATGAAATTTTGTGCATGCATTGGGGCTGCGGCGTGGTGTCGATGCGGTTCGCATCGCATTTTGACAGGTTTTTTTAAAAAGCTGTCGCTGAAATATGCATTTTTTACTTCACCTCTGGTTATGTGAGGTGTTAGCTTTGTAGTGACGGTCAGACTTAAAAAAAAAAAAAATATTGTAATAATCATCACAATTTTTTGAGCATAAGATTATTATTCAGCAGTTTCACAGCTTCCCCAAACATATCCTTAATAGTATCGATATATGTGGATCTATCAATTAATTGTTAGATTTTTGTTGGTTTGATTATAATACATGATTATGATGCAAATCATCTAAAAATTGATACCAATTATGATTGATATTTAGGGTTATATCAATACTAATTAATTTTTCGATTATATTATACTTTCAAGCTCACACTATTTTCACGAGTATTTATTAACATGTGCGCATGGTTTAATTTATCATTAGCAAGGACTCATCGTGATAATTTATCTTTCTTATCAAACTCAACTCATATTATTATATAATAATTAAGTCAACTGAACATAATTGTTGTGGTTAGGCCAATCAAAATAAAATCTTGGAGTCAAGAGATTCGGCCCAATCCAATCCAACCCAACTCAACCCAACCCCCAGATCAATCCAAAACTATATTTGATTGTAGGACACTTGGGTTGGGTTGGCTCAAATGCATCCAGCTGGAGCGCCAAAAACGAGCCGAGCTTGAGCGAGTTCAGGCTTGGCTCGTGTTCAGCTCGTGAACAATGTGTTCGTGTTTGGCTTGATTTAAATATTAGTGTTCGTGTTCGGCTCGAAATTGGCTCGAAAAAATTAAATTGAAAAAAATAAATGTAAAGTGTGGAATTTAGACCTGGACCAAATATATACAAAAAAGACACTAACCACATTACTACACAAGAGGTTATGATTTAAATATATATATAAATATATATAATATATTATTACATAAATAATTATATATATATATTTTAATTTCGAGCTAAAACGAGCCGAACACTAGAGAACAAAGAGTTCTTCGAGTTCGGCTCGGTTATTTAATTCGAGCTTTAAAAACTTGTTCGTGTTCGGCTCGTTTACTTAACGAATGAGCCGAACAAGAGCTACTTAACGAGTCAAATACGAGCTCTTTGCGAACAACAAACTTTTTTGACAAACCTACCGGCCCAATCCAGCAAAAAATAAAGAGAAAAATATGGCTGACTGAAATAAAACGTGACAAAACCGGCGAAGCATATTCAGAAGCAGTTGACCTAGTTGACCTAGATAAGATAGCGGCAACCAAGTCATTAAAAATAACATATAATAAAATACATGTTTACCTGCATCAATATAGTAGTTGAGGATATAATTTTGTCACAAGAAGATTATAAATTTAAATTACATATATTATCCTTTTGGTTGGCTTTTCTGAAAAAAATAAGTATAAAAGGATTTGTTAGAAGCTATTAGACGAGTCTCCCGATCAACTTCATGTGCCTAATAATTCTATTCCGCATATAGACAGAATCAAACCCGTGACCCCATGGGTTTTATAAACTCTGCTAATCAAAGAGTTACGGTAGACTACACACAAACAAATATATATATATATATATAGTTCTTGGCCTGGTCTTCCCTCATGCGCTATAATTTGAGGATCACACCCTGCACTTGGAGGGAATCGAACCTCAGATCATGAGAGACTTACAACTGACAAGCAGATGCCCGACCGACTGATCTGAACATATCACACCGTTTTGATGAGAAGATGTATTTCACCATATTTATTAAATAATAATAATGTTTATTTTGATTTGACATGAACGATTTGAATATTATAAATATAACAATTAAAATTTGGATATTATGTGTAAATTTATAAGAATATTTGTGTGATATTTATGCAAATGCCCATAAATTAAATGACAAATCATGAAAAAATAAAGTAAAGAGTGAATTTTACATTTTTTTTTAATAAATTAAACTCGGTCTTGTAAGAAATATTCAGATCGTGATGAATTGATTATTAATTTTCTCCTTACAATTTCCTAAATTCAAATTTCTGCTTCTAGTGGTTATATTAAATGCTATCAAATTGCATTTGTATACTCTAAATTTTAAAATATATTTTTAAAAATATCATAGATAATTTTTTTATTTAATAATGTTGGTACACAAATCAGCTCATTATTCTGGCTTAAGCGATGCATCTAAACATTCTGATAATATTGCAGTTTGAAAAATAATTTGCTGATAAGATCATCTAATACTAGATTCGACGGCCTTAACTGGGACACGTGGCGAAAATCAACCTCGCCGAACATGAAGAACCCCCAGCCGGCACGGTGCAAATTGTCAAAGTAACCGGGCAGGTCTGGGTGAATAGGCTAACGAACTACTGTTCAACATAGAAGCGAGAAAAGAAACACTCTGATCCTAAAAGATGCAGCGAAAGTAACGAAAGCCTTGATGGTTACTGATACGTGTTAGAAAATTATGGCAGAACAATTGCAATGCCTTGATACATATCCAAGTCAAATCTATGTAATGATTAGTTCTTGGCCTTGGATGATAAATCTCGTGGGCATTTATGAGATAGTCATTGATGCTTAATTCTTCATTGTGTCGGATTAATGACGGGGTCTGGCGTAGTTGAGGAGACCCACTTTAAACTGAAGATGACAATGTAATGATTAGTTCTTGGCCTTGGATGATAAATCTCGTGGGCATTTGTGAGATAGCCATTGATGCTGAATTCTTCCCTGCGTCGGATTATGATAAAAAGCAGATCAACGCCCTCACTCGACTTGACAAATTCTAATCATCGGTCGTACGACTTTCGCTTAGTCAACTTTCAACCCTAGCTTAAGCGGGTTTGCACATTATTAGATGGGTTTTTTAGTATTCCAACGGTGGGTGCTAAGCCTTCTAATGTTGACCCCTAGTCTTTCGTTGATGAACCTTTGATCTTCCGTCTGTGGGCCCTTACTCTTCCACGTGTCAGCTCTCTTTACTCGTGCTCTTGTGCACATATTGTCTGTTGGATTTTCTTGAGATTCATGCAAGCACATATCTCTTGTAAAAACTTATTAAATTTTGATTTATCCATGAATTATATGCCGAGGTTTAGTGCGTAAGGAAAGAGAGTTGAGAGAGAGAAATGAATAGTGAAACGTCTTGTTTATTCGTCTTTTCTCATAAAATGATCTCCCTATTTATAGGAGAAACGATACACTTTGTGATATTATATTTTCACCAATTCTTTAATGGGGTCGATAGAAGATATTTTAGAAATTTCACACACAAGAACATGTTGCTCCGCTGCCCTATGACTAGTTCAGTTGGGCTAGCAGTGCTTCGGCTTAGTAAGATTGCTTATGTCGGTTTGATTGAATTGGTGTTGTCGATTAGCTGGATTTAATTACCTTTAGGTTCGCAAAACATACTTGGCCGACTATATTCCTGTCAGTTGATTCAGTTTGACCTTTGACCTACAATCTCTAGATGAGAAGCTCATGTCGGTAGAACAACACTAGGCTATTGAGTAAAGGGAGTTATATAGTGTGGAACTAAAGCGTTTCAAGCAGCATCTAAGGCTGGCGCCTAGGGGGCAGCCATGGATGCTCAAGCGTCCTATAAAGGGTCGAAAATAGAAAGGTCAGTGCCTATGCATCGGGCTTTTGGTGCTTAAGTGCCCTACATGGTGCGGGTGCTACTCGTTTTTCGGAGAGACCGACACATAAGCACCCTTTTATTGGCTTCGATATAAAGCGCTTGGCACTTAGGCACCAAGTTTGGGGTCCTAAGCGCCCGATACAATTAGTACACAAAAAACTTATTTTTTAAGCCAATTTTGAGCAGTTTTCTAGCTACTGCTTATTTCTTTCTTCTGATATCTTTGACGAGCATCCCCGTGAAGGTGATGAGTGTTGAAGAGGTTGATCTTGGTGGTTTAGCGTGATTTTTGTGTTGGATATAGGAGGGAAGATTGTTAGTGCAAGTCCTGTAAGTTTTTTCATATGAGTGTGGAGAGGAAACATGTGTGAGTTCTTTATAATACTTTCTGAATTTTGTAGTAAAATTTATGGTGGTGTGGCTTCGTGGTATTTTGTCATTTTTTGGTTTTTCCTTATAAAATTCTTATGTGCTTTCTGGTTGCTTTTATTTTGATTTCTTAAATTTTTTGTTCTGATTTTCTCAAATCTCGTGATCTTATTCTGCGGTGAAATTGGAAGGTGGCTCTTTCGAAGTAGTTTCCTTAACAAATAGATATTTGAGTGTGGTTCGATTCGAGTGGGAGCAATGGCCGAAGAAGCAATGTTCAAAGTGGAGAAGTAAAATAAGACAAACATAGTTTTCTAGAAGATGCAGGTGGAGGACTTGTTGTATAAAAAAAAATTATACTTCCCACTACAAGGAATCACAAAGAAGTCAAAATATATACCTTTGGAGGAATGGTAAGCGTTGGTTTGAATGACACTAGATTTGATTTGGTTGACACTTTTCTCATATGTTGCGTTCAACATTGTGAATAAGAAAATTATGGTGGATCTCATGGTGGCAATGGCCAAAATGTACGAATAACCTTATGCTTCCAACAAGGTTTTTCGTTATGTAAAAATTATTCAACACGATGATGGTGGAAGGCGGTTCAATGGTAGAGCGTTTTAATAACTTCAACATTGTGAAAAGTCAGTTGTGTTATGTGGGCATCAAGTTTGATTATAGATTTGGAGCACTTGTGATATTATTTTTGTTGTCGGAACGTTGGGATGGTTTGGTAACGAAGGTGAATAATTCTTCTGAGACTTCGAAATTGAACTTTGATGATATAGTGGGTCTGATGCTGAATGAAAAAGTTCACAGAAAAGCAGAGAAATGTGTTTTTGTGTAAGTTGTGAAAAAGTAATGGAAATTATAATTTTTTTTTTCTGTTTTACAGGTTTGCGTCGGATTTGTGCATGTTTTTAGACGCAAAATCTCATGCTCAAATGACAATAATATTTCTTCGTTCGGTGATATTTCTGACAAAAAAGAGATTGCAATCCTATGCTAATATTCATCGTCTGATATTTTTAAACGCAAATGTCAACGCAAGTTATGTATAATCAAATCCCATGCTGATACATGCATAAATAATTTTTCGTCGGAATATTTCGACGTAAATTAGATGGATATAAAATTACCGATCCCAAATTTAACGTCAAAACAAATCAGACGCTAATTCTTAAATATCGTCAATTTTGCGACCAATTTACGTCTGATCAAGCTAACACAAAGAAGCATAATTCCTATAGTGAAACCTGCAACGAAAAATAAACATAACAACACATAAACCAGAAACAAAACCGAACAAAAAAAAAACATCAAGGGAAACTAAAGAGCTCACTTGCACGAAAATATTAAAATTCTGTCTAAAATACCAATTGTCGTCTATATAACCAACTAACAATACTGCAGTTATCAATAACAAACTATTCACCAATTATGACATATGTGATTAATTATTACTGTAACTTCCAACTACGTCGTTAATGACCAATTGTAAATATCATTGCACCGCGACGAGTCTTGTAACACACAAGTATATAAGCATATGATTTACTTAATATATGAAGCATTTATTAATTCATGATCTTAAAGTAGAGTTATGAGTTTCTATTTATTTCATGAGAAATTATGATAACTGATGTTTCTTTATTTATTTGTGTGTGAGAAATTTAGCCTTGTTTAAATAATAATTTCTCTCTGCCGCATAAATATTTCAACCCATATTGTGTATTTAACATAAATATTATTTCTGTATATTGGATATATGATCAAATTATATTAATTTTCTTATAATATAGCGTCAAGTTAATTTTTATGATATAATATAAGAAGAATGGTCTCGAATTATCAATTAAATATTTTTTTAAATTAAAAAAGTTAAAATAAAATCAGGATAAATATATATTACTCAACTCAAAATTGCCAACATGTGGATATGTAAATAAATAAAATTTGTGGGGTATGTATGTAATTTTTTTTTAATTTTTTTTTTTTTTTTTTTTTTTGAAGAGGTCGAAAGCCGACCATGGGGACACAAACGTTAAAAAAATATATTATTAGTTAGGTGGGACCCACCCTTCATGATGCCTCCTTCCTCCTCAAATACAGCGCAGGGTCCGCATCCACGGCAGCAAAAGCAGAGAAGTTCCTAATCGATCAGACAGACGATCACAGACATGGATTCTCCTTCTCTCCCATGGAAGCTCTACCAAAACCCCCATTTCTCCTCCGAAAGCCACCATGATTCTAATCCCCATCTACTCCCCTTACATAACATCGAAACCGATCCCCACCCCTCTTCGCAGACGAACGACCTCCGCACCGATCTGGAGGTCGAGCGCCGCCTTCGAAGAGACGCGGAATCCCTAACGAGATCACTCTCCCTAAAGCTCGCCGAGGAGCGGCGCCTCCGCGCCGAGGCCGAAGCTGAGGCCGCGCGATGCCGCGATGAGGCCGACCGCGCCGTACAAGAAGCTGAAGAAGAGCGCCAGATGCTCAAATACGCGGATGCGTGGCGTGAAGAGCGCGTGCAGATGAAGCTCACCGAGGCCGCGATCGTCCTTGAGGAGAAGATGATGGAGATTGCGAAGTCGGGTGTTTCCCGATCTAGCGAGGTCGATGGGAAAGGGAGGCAGGGGAGGGAGAATCCGCTCATCAAGAAGTGCGTGAAGGGGTCTGCGGAATCACCCAAGACGGCGGGTAAGGCTCGGTCGCCGGGATTCGTGAGGGAGAAGGAGCGCGCCGATAAGAAATTGGAGTGTCAGAAATCTCAGATTGGGGCTTTTCTGAGGCAGAAGAGTGCTTCGAATTTTGGGGTGATGGCTAATTCGCGGAGTTTAGTTGTGCGATGATTTTCGTTTTTGTTGTTGGTGTTGATGTTCTTGATGCTTCAGCTGCTGCTGCTGCTGATTTTAGTTTGGAGAAGTTGGGTACCTGTTGAGGTACTGCTTAGAATAATTGTATTTTTATCAAGGTTTTTGGCAATAAAATTTGCCTGCTTCCGGTTACAATTTGTCTGTAAAAATGGCTGCAGTTTGAATCTGATTTCAAGCATGATAACAATCATGCATTATTCTCATCACAATTCTTTTTAGTCACACTCCAGTCTGAAGGGTGGTACATCTAATAGCACAGACATGATGAAATGAATTGAACATGTTTGGTATTAATGAAAATTTGTATGAAAATTAAAAAGAATATATAAGATGATGACAGAAGCTAGTTGAATCAAAACGGAAATGATAATAAGAAAAGACGACCGATAACCAAAAAGAAAAATACAATAGTAAACGTAGATGCCGAAATACCAAGAAGGGTTAACTTAAACTCGAAAGCATGCTCTTATGGAGATGATGCTGCTAGCGACTAGCGACTGAATATTGTCTGTAATGCAAAATATCATAGAGCGGGTTTGATAAATAAATTGAGTAAATAACGACTATCTATTAAAACATAAATAACAAGAGAAATGAGACATATGATATAATCAACATATAAGAAGGATTATTATGTGGATATACAAGACCATAAGCCAATAAAGAAGTGATAAAAATCAAATATGTTTACATATCATAAAAAAACATTGAATGATTTTCAATCAACTTTATCATTATTCAATTTAGTATTTATTATTTATGTAGTCGATTTTAACTTACAATCTAAAATCGGGAAGGACAATATCAACCTACAGAAATCCAATAATTTTTTTGTAAAGGCGTCGCGACGTGGCCTGTCCCCTCGGCTAGCCAATATCCAAAAAAAGTTCCACTAATCTAAATGTTATCACGCAAGTATATCAAATTTTTCACAGGTGTTGCTTCACATAAACTTGTGTTATGACATGAATTTACATACAATTTCAATAAAAGTAAAGTGTAAGGAAATGAAAACTTTATAAATACAAAATTACTCATTTATGCAGAAAATTTGAAGTAATAAATTAAGACAGTTAGTTCTTCCATTATTAGCAATAATTGAAGTCTATATCAAGTGCAAAATTATAATTGAAGTAGTAAGAATATGACTGACAAACTTATAAAAATAACAATCATTCTACTAAGAATAATAATGATTAACACTTCTAATTACAAAATATATGTTTATCTTTTAATGAAGAGTAATTATTTACCTCAAGACGACAAACGCGATACTTTTACGAATTCGACGACTTGACTATTGTTCTTTTGCCACTTAGAAAAGAAGATATAAATAATTATGCAGTTAAGTTTTATCTTTAAATTAAGTATTCTCTAATTGACATTTATTATTATAATATTATTATATTACTTTTAAAGTAAAATAACTTAAATCATGATTCTAACTTATCTTAATAACAAAGTTATATTATATAAAAAGTATATGATAAAACTGAGAAAAAAATGGCATGCATGTAAATCTTTCTAGGGGGAGCCACCATAGCAGGAGTAGATAGTAGTTTGTGTGACATACATACGCCTAAGAGAACTCAATGAAAATGAAAATGAAAATATAAAGTAGAAAGGAGCTCTCAAACTTGTTTTTTTTAAAAAAAAAAAAATCATTTATTTAATTAAAAAATAATTTTTTTTCAAAGTGAGAGAGAGAGAATTAGAAGGGTGCTTCAATTAGAAATATTTTCTGGAAGATGGGGAGTCTAGAGGTTATGGAAATTGGATTAATCACCAATTCATATTGTAGTACATCATTTGGCCAATTGGAAGGCTGATTTTAACCATTGAAGATTGATTTTATTAATTCTCTCATTCATTCTTTTTCTTGGAGTGAACTGTTTGTATGACTTTGTGTGTCTTATTGTGCGGATAAACTATTGTCTGTCATTTGGATGTTTGAATGATGGTCTGGATCACACCGTGTTGTGTGGGCAGCGGTGTGATGCGATCCATGTTCGTCTTCCAGAACTATAGAATCAGGATGTAATATTTTACCAAGAGATTGAGATATATATATATATATATATATATATATATATCATCCATAATATTTAAAAAAAAATATATATATATATATAGAAGGGGGTAATTTGCATAATTAAATGAGAGTGATTGATTAGAGAGAGTGAGGAAACAAAATAATAGGACATGAAGTAGGGGCATTTGCATATTTAATGCCCATTACTATGTATTTACATATCAAACATCTAAACTTTACTTTTTATGGTTGTAACACTAAAATTTTTCCTATCTCATTTAAAATAGCTCTATTCTAAATTTTAAAAGGGGAATACACATTTTCTTGTAAAAGTAAAGTGACATATGTAAAAATTGAGGTTTAGGGTGTTAGATATGTAAATATGTAAGAATTGAAAGGTATAAATGTAAATATTCCTATGGTGTGATTAAGAACATTTTTATTTTCTCATATAAAATTCATAATTCAAACATCAATCATTTAATCCATATTTAATCTCAAACTTGAAGCAAAGAAGATAAAAACACCAGCCTCCACCACCAACCCTGCTTTAAAATATGGTCCCATCTTCTAAATCTGTTGTTCTCGGTTATTTTTAGCATCTCGAAGTCGTCAACTTGTCTATTTATGTGTCGTCGTATTATTCCCCTATTTATCGTTATCTAACAGTATTGTGGCATGCGGCAACGGCGGCGGCCGATGGCAGGTTGCCGGCTGGGGACAAGATGCCGGCGAGTGTGTTTTAAACTCGATCAAATCGACCGAATTTTCAATTCGGTGAAAATGAGCTAAGCGCTAAATTTTAAATACATTGGATTGAATTTGTTCACAACATCAAACCAATTGGCTGAATTTTCTAAATTCAGGGATTTAGAATACAATACATTAACAATTTCTCCTAACCAAACAATAGAGAAAAATAAATAACATGAAGCCAAGGTTACTTTAATTAATTAATTTTAATTTTAAAACCAATTATTTTAGGCTACTTCAAAAATATTGGGTCAAATTTTCTTAACTCTATCTCTTATGCCTTTGATAAAGTCACATTATGCCATTTAGATATACTTGGTCAGTCATTCAAGTTTATAGGAAAGACGTCAACCATCGGCAACCACGTTGTCTGCCGATGAGGTATTTGACGATGTGGCGGCCGGTGATTGATTGTCCCGACAGAATTCTTTTTCCCTAAGTTAAGTTGAAACTAATTCAAGGTAGGCTGCAACTAACCAATTTATCAATGGTTTAAATGTAAATTGTACAATTGTTTATGACCTGCATGTTGGAAATAAAAGCATGTTTATGTAATAAAAACAATGAGCCTTTTAGACAAAAAAAAAACAAAAATAGTTTAATTCTAAGCTATTTTCTATGGAGCTTAAGAGTTCAAATTAGGGGCATAAACAAGTCATAAGAAAATTATAATTTTATAAATTGTAAGTCAAATATTTTTATAAATTATTGTTTATCATTTGAAAAATGTATATATATTCATCATAAAAAATTGATAATTTTATAATTAAGAATTCTTTTATTAGAATATTTTAATTCAAAGTTACCGCACTAAATCAAATATTTTAATAGCTTGTATGATTGAGTCCATGCTGGCTTGGAAAGTGTTATTTGGGTGACGGCCGGATTCAGGTCCAACTCAAAATTGACCCAACTCAAATAGGTCTGACTCAAATCGGACCCAAATATTATACAAGCAAAAATCCCAACTTGAATCCAACCCGCCAACCCAAAACGGACCTGGATAACCCGTTTAACATAATGAATAACTGTTATTTGGGTTAAAATTGGATAAATTTATGGACAACTTCAAGTCAATTTTAGGTCAATTTAGATCAATTATGAGTTAGCAAGTCAATTTTAGGTTGTCGGGTCATTTTTTGGTTTCATGGTTAACCCGAAAGCAGGGAAAAAAAAAAAAAAAACTCTAAACGAGTTTAGAAAAGTAATCAGGTTAATTTGAACCAGAATTTTTCGAGTCAGGTTTAGGTTTGAGTTGACGTATCAAAATTCGAGTTCCAGTCGAATTGATGTGTTGGGTCAACTTTTGACACCCGAAGAATGTAATATCTTTTATTGCGGTGAGTTATAATTGTTAAATTGCATTTTTTTTAGTTCACTTTATCACATTATCCCTATTGTGATTCAATTAAATTACATTAACTTGGTAGTTTGCAAAATTAAATTTTGCTAAAATGTACAATATTATATCTAATTTAGATAAATCCTAGTCGAATCATATATAAATAATGATATATATATATTCTTAATCTAATTTTCTTTTTTCTTTCTGGAATAATGAAGCATAAATCCGATAAGTTGAATTTACTCCCGAAAAACGACAATAAAGTTTTGAGGTTTTATCACCATTTTTTAATTTGCACATCTCACACTCAAATTTTAATATTTACATATATGACATTTTAGTGCTTTAAATTTATGTATAAGAAAATATATTTCACTTTTAACAAGTAGTATTAGTGCTTCATGTGTGTCGTCAGGTCCTCGACGATAAAGGAATGCATTATGATTTTAGTGTTCCACAAAAATATAACACGCACTCAGGTAATTAGTAAGAGGAAACACTTCAATTTTTACTTGAAAAACTTTAGAAAGGGGAAAAACCCACCAGATCTGACTCAGTTGAAATAATTCATTGTGAATAATGAGTACACATGTTAACTCTTCTTTCGAATTAGAGAATATGGAGTTACAAAGTTGATCATTGTTAATGTACAATAATAGTTCATTGATAATAGTCGTAGTCTCACTGTAAGGAATGTAGTTATCGATGATAGTGGATTGTAAGGTCGTAACCGAATGTTATGGAATCAATAATCTGTCGTGAATGTTATAGGTGGTGGTTGTAGCTTCAGTTTATTATATAGGTCGTATTTGAAAGCCCTGCAAGTAGTTGGTCATGTAAGCAGCAGAATGTTGTTTTAAGATCGTTGGTTGATTATAAAAACCGTAGTAAGAAGCTGCAAGAGTTGTAAGTCAAGTAGGTCGTATTTGGTCTCATAAGTCATAGTAGTGATTCATGATGACATTCGTGCGCTGCAATGACTAGAATTGTGAGCTACATGAGTTGTGAATCACATAAGTCGTAGTTGGTCACATAAGCCGTAGTGGTGAATTGTGATGACTTTCATAAGTCGTAAAGGCCGGAGTCAAGAGCTGCACGAGCTGTGGATCACGTATCTGTAGTTAGTAGCATATGTGTGATCTAATAAAGAGAGAGATTTATGAGTCCTGAAAAAATCACCATCTTTGTGGTGCATTTTTACATTATTTTCGGGAAGTATCGTTGAACCATATTTGAGGTGTGTTGTCACACTGTCATTAGAGTGTGTCGTTACATCGTATTAAGGGTGCATTGTAACACCATTTTTTTGAAGCTTCGTTACACTATATATGGGGTGTGTTGTTCGCATGATGCATTGTTACTCTGAAATATATTATGGGATTTCACAACACACGTCGTGATTCCACAACACATGTTGTGATTCAACAAAGGATTTCATCTAAACAAGTCAAGGGTGCCCGACGATGCTCGATAGTGACGAGGGGGCAGTGATCAATAGTAGTCAGTGACACTATAAGTGAGAGGTATCTGTCGGATCTACGATGTAGGAATGATGTTGGGTTACAACTCCTCCAAGCTCCAATTTTCTTCATGCTCTAAGTTTGCCTTCTCTTTAAAGAGGGGGTTACGACTGCTTATAAAGTTTGGGAGAGTTCTCCCAACAAATAAAGAATATATTCAGACCACTCAATCAGATGACTCAGAGAGATTCCCTTGATTAAATTGTGTTCGATGAACATTTGAGTGCATTAATGATATTAGAATTGAGTGATATTGGACTTGTTAGATTAGTCTAGCTTAGTCATTTGATTTGAATATAAATTGTCAGATTTAGAATCTGCTTGACCATTCAATTAAGCACTGAAAACTTCCAAAAAACAAATTAATGACTTGATTTGGGCTTACTTTGACTTGGATCAGACCAATTTTTGAACCGTTGAGTCTGTATCATCGAGCTGTTAAGTTTGACCGTAGGTTTGCTAAAATCAGAGTTCTTTAATCAAAATTTGAATGTTCATTGCTCAAACAATGCATCAAAATTCCTGTCGTGCCTTGAGATTTTTGTCGGACAACAGAAATTTGTTGATGGGGATATGAGTGCTATTTTTGATATAATATTAAAGATTTTAGACCTATGTATGTAAATATGAAAGCTTGGTTGTGAGATATGTAAATACATAAGAATTGTTTGCTATAAATGCAAATGACCTTTTTTTATAATTTTAAAATATTTAAAATTATGAAAAGTTTTAGTTGACCATTAAGAGCACTTTTTGAGCGATTTTTCATCATATTTCTATTTGGCTACACTTCCATATTATTTTTTGAAAATGTTTGTGGTGCAGGTATTGTTTTTATGTAATTAGTGAGTAATAATTATAATAAAAAAATATTATTTACTTTTAAAAAAATAGTATTTATAATAACTTTTTCTTAAATTCTATTAACGAATAAGTAAAAATTGCCAAATGAGTTGACAAAATTTAATTTATTAAATTATTTACCAAATAAGTAAAAATCGCCAAATAATTCGACAAATTTTAATTGAATTTATTAAATTAATTATCGACTAATTATTACAGTTTAACCTTCTTCAGTTAAAGTTTAATTCATCCCTAAAATTTGTTAATAATATGCTATTTGAATGTACCGATATAGCGAGCTCAGGCTCAGCTTCTGTTCGGCCCGTTTATATTTTAAGCTCAAAAAGTGTGTTCGTGTTCGAGACGTTTGCTTAGCGAGCCGAACACGAGCCGTTCATGAACAACGAGTCGTTTTAATAACCTTAATCACGTAGCCATAAGATGCTAATGATTGGGACAAAATTTAAAAATTATTGTTGATATTAAAACATCATTTGAATCTAATTTAATAATTTTTATTTTATTTTTCTAATTAATATTTTTTATTGATTATAAATTTTTATGGACTTGTAGCCAATTATAATTAGTAGTATTTCGAGTCAAAATGAATCCGACTTGTTCGTATTTGATTCTTTAATTTAGGGAATGAGCCGCACACGAATTTGTTAACGAAACAGCCCAACACGGCTATTCCAGAACAACCAGCCGTTTTGACAGACCTAATACTGAATGTTAGTAATTTAACTCTAATCCGCTGATACAGGCCTAGTTACCGATTCTTCACACCACCGAAACTACCACCGCCCTCCGCCACCACGATCGCCATGTCCACCGCCGTCGCCGGAAGTGGCGGAACGGTACCGCCATTCCGGCCATACCGTCTGGCCCGAACACTGACCGCCCACACACGCGCCGTCTCCTGCGTCAAATTCTCCAACGACGGCCGCCTCCTAGCTTCCGCCTCCCTCGACAAAACTGTTATCATCTGGTCCTCCTCCTCCCTCTCCCTCCTCGCTACCCTCTCCGGCCACTCCGAGGGTATCTCCGATCTCGCTTGGTCCTCCGATTCCCACTACGTCTGCTCAGCATCCGACGATCGCACCCTCCGCATCTGGGACGTCCGATCGCCAACCTTTGAATGCGTCAAGGTCCTCCGCGGTCACTCCTCTTTCGTCTTCTGCGTCAACTTCAACCCCCAGTCGAATCTGATCGTCTCGGGTTCCTTTGATCAGACGATTCGGCTCTGGGATGTGAAGACGGGGCGGTGCGTCAGAGAAATAGAGGCGCACGATTTACCGGTCACATGCGTGCATTTCAATAGGGATGGGTCGCTGATTGTGTCGGGAAGTCATGATGGGACTTGCAAGATTTGGGATGCGGATAAGGGCACCTGCCTCAAGGTTTTGATCGATGATAAGGGTGGACCTGCGGTTTCTTTTGCCAAGTTCTCACCTAATGGAAAGTTTATACTTATCTCCACATTGGACAGTACCCTGGTATGTGCTAACCCTAACCGCTGTATCTTTTTGAATGTATTTGTTCCAGTACCAAATTGAGCTGCTGATATACACATGGTTACAGACTTACAGTTACTTTTCGACTTGCATTGATTATGGATAAGCTAATAGAATAATAGATTCTACTGGTTTAGATGTGTAATGCATTTGGTTGAACTATTGAAAATGCTCTATTAAGATGTGTAAATATTTCTATTATTGCAAGATTAGGAAGAATAATAGAAGTAGATTGAAGGTAACATGAATTCAAGCTGTTCAAAGTACTAGCAAAATATAGGTTTAGCATCTAATGCACCACTCGACAACGTTAAATGATGAATGGGTTTCATAAGAAAATCCAAATGGATTTGGTCAATGATATTGATGGTGATGATGAGAAGACCCTTCAGATATTGCTTTCCTGGGTATTGTTCTTGGCACTGGAATGCGCTGCTAATTTTTGTATATAGAAAGCAGGATTCATAAGAAAATCCAAATGGATATGGTCAATGATGATGATGGTGATGTGAGAATACCCTTTAGATTTTGCTTTCATGGATGTTGTGATTGTCACTGGAATGTCCTACCAATATTTGTATATAGAAAACAATGGTTATTTTTATTTATTTGTGATGCTTATATAATCTTCAGGATTCAATTACAGCTTTGTTTTAGAAGCCAATTGTTTAAGATAGGAATGATAGCCAGTTGCTTCGCTCAATGTGTTTAGTTGGTATGCTTTTCCAGACAATTTGTTTTTTCTTTAGAGGTCTTAATTTAAAGTTGGATATGATGTTTAATGGTGTTAATGAAGGTTCCATTTTAGTGAGGCCTTGGTCCCAAAAAATTGCACACCGAAAATTGTTTCTTTTTTTTTTCATTCTTTTCGTTGATAGCATGATTTTGTTCAGGAAGATGCTCTTATACTTTGCTATCTATTGAAATTTTGTCGGATAGAATGATGGAAGCTTTAATTTTAGGAAAAAATGATCAAAATAGTTCTTGTAAAAGGAAACATAACGGTATGAATTGAAATGATAGAATTATCTCAGTACTATCCTGCATTTACATGCTACATATCACCTGAAAATTCTTGCATGGTTTGAACTATGTCTTTGTGTGTGTGTGTTTATCTTGCCTGATTTTTGTCGAGCATGAAATGGACTTGATCCTTACTATGTTTGAATAGAATTTTATCTGAAGTTTCAAGTTTATGGCTTGACCTACACTAGCTTTTATCTGATATTTGTAAATTAATATCTTATGATTGAATGGATATACCCTAATCAATTCATTTTTAAGATGGCAAGATTTGATCAAATGCATTTTATTTTTTTGTGCTTAGGAATATATAGAAACAATATAGAAACAAATGAAGGACCTTCATATGGTTTTTATCAATCTTGAGAAAATGTATGATCGATTGTCATAAGAATTGATTTGGTGTATGTTTAAAGAAATATGTGCATCAAATCTCTCTCTCTCTCTCTCTCTCTCTCTCTCTCTCTCTCTCTCTCTATATATATATATATATATATATCTACAAACACCCACACATATGTGTAAAAAAATAAAAATAAATAAATATAAAAATAATATGTGTGTGTGTGTGCATGCGTACGCGTTTGCTATAGAGAAAAGAAATATATTTGAAGTGAGGTACTTGGTGGATGTTAATTGTAGATTATATTTTTTTGATAGGTGGGATATATATTGAAATTAAAACTTCAAAAAGAAAAAGTAGGGAACATTTTAGAAGATAAGATAGAATTAGTATGATAAATGTTGAGTATATTATATGCATTTTTAATGGACATGATATTAATAATTATTAAATTGTGCTAAAAGATCATTTGATACATCGTTGATATATGTTCAAATATGTTGAATATATCTCATGAAAGTGGGGGAGTATAAATTTTGATATATTTTCTAAAATTATATGTTTAACATAAAGTGTGCCTAAAAAAATTATGGTGTAGAAGTATCATGGACATTTTATGAGCAATTTCAAACTCTAGAGGTCTTGAAAAACACATGATGCTCCATTAAGAGTAGCAATTTCTAATACTCCATTTATTTTAGTAAAAGTTTTAGGTTTGCTGTTTTTCCTAATAAATATTCATATGAGATTACTTTACCATGAGAGATAATTGTATTCTCTTATTATTTCCTTTTAGAGTCTTTGTTGCACAATTGAAGGCTTTTGGCTTGGTATTTTGGAGCCTTTTTTCCTTTAGTTGTCCTTCATCAATACCAAATTTAATGCTATACATGGAGGTTACCTAAGGCTTCATTGATGAAAAATTTCATCTATATATGGTGGTTGACAAAGGCCACAACAAGACGTAGAAACAGAAGAATTTGATGGTGATGAAACTAAAATAGGAGCACACCTTTCTCCATAACATGTGCTCTACCATCCAATAAAAATACAATTACCCAAAGGACTATGGGATCAAGCACTTTGCTTAGCTATTACTTAAACTGGAACAAAACATAACACAAGTTAACCACTTATGGTAAAAGAAGCGAGATCAAGATATAAACAGTAATGTTTGGCTTAAAGAGTAGTTTTTACTTGATTATGCGAGCATTGACCCTATGAAAGGGCCCCACATCAAGGGCTACCATTTCCACCATTAAACACTTAATAGATTATTCTCCGCACTATTTTTTGAGGTATCAAATTGGGTAGAATAATATTTGTAGTTTTGTATGTCTGTAATTGTTATTTGTTTACTTGTTTATGGTTTAATCTTGTAATATTGTTATGGATGGTATCATGTAGAAAATAAGTTAATAAAAATAAAAAAAATTAGAGAATAAAATTTTAAATATATTTTACAAATTAAAACCATATTTCTATTTTACAGTTTTTATCATGGCATATATTTAGAGGGAGCTATTTTTTTACTTGTCCTACCTCCACATTTTATAGAGTATGGATTACTAATATGTGTTTGCAACTATAAAAAAGTAGAAGATTGTTAGCCTCTATGAGCCTCAATGTTTATTTGAGTTTAAATGATAATAACAAACACATTTTGGAGATACTAATGGTGTTATTAAGTATAAGACTCAATAGCTATTGTTGGATACTCATATCAAAGCTTTCAATTTGTCTTGTGCAAAAGCCCCCAAAGTATCTAATCACGAACAACATAAATTCTAGTTTTTTTTTTTTTATATATAATAAAATATCATGTAATAACTCAAGAAAAAGATGTGACTTAATCTAACGTACACTAATGAATATTTTATGAGCTATAAGTATCACAAAATCAAATTTTCATTGAAAGAATTGTCTTGGTTAAATCACACATATGATTTTAATTGTATGCACGATTGATGCAGCATGCATAGAGTTAAAATTTGTTTATATTGTTTACCATCCAAAATTCAGCATTCAATCGTTAGAAAACACATTCCATATATATAGTCGTAGCCTTCGAAGTACATGTAGTTAGCTGATTACTTTCACTTGGTAGAGTGCCTTCTCATTTCCAATGTCAAATGCTTACAAATGTCAGTCGATTAATTTGTGTGATACAATTAAGACATGAAAGTAGCATTAAATAAATTGGAGTTTTAAGATCTTCCCAACTAAAGGCATCCATGAACACCTACATATAGGTCTTACAGAACTTGTTTACCATCTGCTTCTTAGTTTTTGACTTGGATCCTTCTGATTTTATCCTTTGTTTATTAGAGACTAAACAAAATTGCGGCCATCATCTCCTCGGCATTACATTTTTTTGTTTTCTTTTTCAAACATGCTGACTACACATTATACGAATCTTTTTATAGTATTCATTTATTTCTTATGCATGGCATGCCACACAAGACACGCAATTTTACACTTTGATTGCTTTTAGACACTTTTTTCAAAATACAACAAAGCAATGTGCTGCCTTTTATTTATTTTCTTTAAGTCATAGAATAGGAAAAACTTTGCTTTAAGTACCGTCCGATACTTTTGAAATTGAAAAATAATATATTTTATTAAACTAACTACATTCCCTTAAAAAACAAGCTATAATGTTAAGTTAAATAATGCAAATAATAATGAAAAATGTGGAGAAGGATACTTAAAACACACGAACTAGGAAAGTTACTAAAGTAAATCATGTCCATGATAAAAGCTCTTAGATAAATATAAGCTCATCACTTCTTTTAATGTTAAACTCTATCTACACTTTTAAGGAAGAAACAGTTTTTATCTTTTTATAACCTCTTGTTCTATCACATATATTTTTTTCATTATCATTTCCACCATGTTCAATGTATTTGTTAGTGACTTTCGAAGATGATAAATAACATTTATCGCTTGGGAGTGAGTGAGAAGTTATTATACTAGAAAGATTAAGGGGTTAACATTTATTGAAGATTTGATTCTTGAAATTATGTTTAGGTGATTTTTCCATTTATAGAGGACGCTACAAATTTCATTAATAAGATAGATAGATTGAATGGGGAAGCAAAGGAAATCAATGCATACACTAAAAATGATTGTAGCGAATCTTGAATTTGCACCTGATGTTAAGTATTAAATGAGAATGAATGGAGAAGAAGCTTTAATTAAGCTAGCTTTGAATTGTTAGTTAAGGCTAGTAATCATGAAATTGTGCATTCTAATTTATTTTATGTTTATGTGAGCTTTTATAGTTTCTATTTGTGGTTTCATTGCAGAAACTATCAAATTATTCAGTTGGGAAATTTCTTAAAGTTTACACAGGGCATGTTAACAAAGTATACTGTATCACATCAACATTTTCTGTTACCAGTGGCAAGTACATTGTCAGTGGATCAGAAGATAAATTTGTTTATATTTGGGACCTCCAAGGCAAGAATATCATCCAGAAATTGGAAGGTCATAGAGATACTGTTATATCAGTATCGTGTCACCCTATTGAAAATAAAATTGCTTCGGCGGGCTTAGATAATGACAGAACGGTCAAGATCTGGATTCAAGCTGCCACTTGAAGCTTTATTTGTTGATAAAGTTAGTGAATCTTCTATTTTTTATTCATAATCTTCTTCTTCTTATAGAGCACTGAATATGCTTCATTAGTCAGAACCATATGTTTTTTCCATTTTTCTTGTTCCTGATTTGTCGTCGTTGATTGTTTGTATAATTTTTAATGATACTTTCTCTAATTTCCGTCTTATACACAGGTTAGGGATCAAATTTTCATCAATTTGTGTGTAGTTTTTTTATGGATAACTCGAGCTTGTATTCTTGCTTATACAACCGTTGACCTTCCGTCTGGTTTCTAAAGAAACATTCTAAGGAGGAAGTTTTACAACAAAGCTGGTAAGTGCACCACTATGTCTGATGTACACCTTAATGGTAACTTCTTGTTGTTCGTTAGTTTGTTGATTGTCAAGCCCGGTTTACAAAGCCGAAGCATTTGCAGACTTCTGTATTTTTCTTAATGAAGAAGCTGTAATTTTCTTAATGGAGAAGCTCATCTGTTGTTGAAAAATAGCTTGAAAAGATCTCCTTTCCTACACGCATACTTTTATTGTGAACAACTTCTATTCGCTCTGTTTGGCTTTATTATGTTTCTTAAATTTTGGTGTTTAAATTTTTTATAGTAAAAAAATTGATTTGTTTTTTTAATTTGACTGAATATCATATATCATCTTGGATGAAGAATCTCATAATGTTTGAGGCTCTCCTTGATGCCTTTTTGAAATGTTTTTTTTCGTACGGGGAGTCGGGTTGGCAAATTTTAACATTGCATGCTTATTTGAATTAGTCACGGCAAGGGCGGCAAACGAGCCGAGCCATGTCGAGCAAGGCGGTGCTCAAGCTTGAGCTTATTTTTATAATCTGAGCTTGAGTTTAGATCAAGCTTTTGGGATTGTGTTCAGGCTTGTGCATTTTTATAAAATTCTAGTTCAGAGTCGAGCTCGAGTTCTAATTGAGATTTGTGTTTATGTTCAATATTAGTTTTTGTTGTTCGAGTTTAGTTCTTGTTTGTTTCATATGATGATAATTGAATCATTATCGAACAAATTAATAAATAAGTAAATTATTGAGCTACTTAATTTCTATCTAAACAATTTTAATTGAGCAGATTAAAATTAGTGCTATAGTGTTATTTATTTTCTAACCAAATAAGATTTATCGAACAAAATAATGAATAGTATGGTTAAGCTATTTATTTTCTAATCAAATGAGCTTTGTTGAGCTTATAAATGTGTTACTTTTTGAGCTTATGTCAAACTCTTTATAGAAAAAATTAAAACTTAGTACAAACCTAGAGTGGCTTCTAAAAATTGATTTCTTCATCCTCATCCAGCCGCATGATGAGCCTGAGTTGGATTTTCTCGAGTCAACATCGTGTTCCCTCTACTGTTAGCTTTGTCTTCAACCCAAAGTGTGGTGAATTCATATTGGCTTGATTTCACCTAGGTTTGACTTTGGTTAAACAAGATTTGGCCTTAATTATGTTTGACCTGCTGGATAGACTACGAGGATGCTTTGGACTGATTTGCAGGGAAATGACTTTTTACACTTTGACATGCCATTGATTATTTATGTCATTCCTTGACTGGTCAGTTTGATCCCTTGCTTGGGATAATAAACTGTGTCAAATTAGTTGCTATCACACTGTTACTTATACTTATATTCTTCATAGTTAAATTGGAAAACATTCATCAGGCTATCATGAACCTGTGATGTGGTCAAATTCTTACATTGTTGGCGTTGTATAACATTATGATGTTGAATATGTTTCGCAAAATTGTAGTTGTATGGATTGGAAGACTGATTGGTGTCAGATTAATTTCGCTTTTGGTAATTGATTTGATTGCCAATCATAGTTGTTTTAGAGACAACTCATCCTTCTTGCCTGTATTAATTACCGTATTTGGTGAGCAAAATTAGCACACACAAGAGCACATGATTGCACGAGTAATTTAATACTTAAAAAGATATTATCTAAAAAAAAAAATGATTTTCATTAAATAACAAATAGAAATTAACAAAAAACTTTATTTGAAGAATAGAAATTGATAGCTTATCGAGTGAAAAGCTATTACAATTATTGGCTATGAAAAGTGCTGAATAATGTTAACTAAAGGCCGTTTTGGCATCACTTTTTAATCTTAATTTAAAAAAAAAACTCAAACTATTTAAAAGATAGTTTGCGTGTTTTCTAAAAACAACTATCGCAACCAAATATGTGTTTAACTCGAATCAAAACATAAACAAAATATAATAAAAATAAAAAATAGAAAAAAAAAAAAAAAGAAAAACAAGTGATCCCAAATGGGGCCCAAGTAATTAAAAGGAATTTTTAACTAGGAGAGAGAGATCTATGCCTTACATTTTTCCAAGGCATTTTTAATTGATTATTATTTGATAAAAAGAAATTTGTTATAATGGACCTAAAAGTGATTTCTACCATTCTCTCGAAGTTACAGAGAAATTGATTTACCATCATGGAAGTTAATTCGATGCATTAAATCAAAATAAATGTATGTATAGCACAACTTATATAATCACTAATCAAACATTTTTATCCTACTATGTGATTTCTCAACCATGTCAAACTCGTTTACGAAGTGAGTAGGGCTGTCAATTTGGCTTGTTGTTCGTGAACAGCTCGTGTTCGGCTCGTTAAACAACTCGTGTTTGGCTCGTTCGTTAAGCCTAACGAGCTGAACACGAAAAAATTCTTAAGCTCGAAATGTAAACGAACCGAACACGAACAACAGTTTGTTCGCTCGTGTTCGGCTCGAAAAAAAATTATATAACTCTTTATATAACAATATATTACATATATTATTTATATAATAATGTATTATATATATTTATGTCTAAGTTTAAACTATAACACATCATATCAATTCGTCTAATAATGTGATTTTGCGTCTTCTATTCTATAGAGTTGGAGTATGTTTGAATCTAACACCATATATCAGTTTTTCTTATTAATTTTGAGCCGAACACGAGCCGAACACAAACACGAATATTTAAATAGAGTCGAACACGAAGAAACTGTTCACGAGCCGATTTCGAACAAGAGCCGATTTCGAACACGAGCTATTTCGAACGAGCCGAACACGAGCCAAGCCTGAGCTCGCTCAAGCTCGGCTCGTTTACAGCCCTATTTGTCACTTCTCCATTTGCGTATTCAAATATTGTAACGGCCAGCTAAATAATTTCAAAAAAAAATTAAAAAAAAAATTGAAAGAAAAGGGAAAAATAATATTGAAATATGCAGCAAAAAATGGTCATCCGATAAATTAAATTAAAGGGATAATTACATGCAAATCAGTTGAAACATTGATATTTACATGCTTGTTCGTAGAAGAAAGATATGAGAACATGCTAGAAAAAATAGAACAAGGAAGAAGATTGTTCAATGTTTCTGCCTATCGCCATCTCCTCTTTCTTCCTACACTTCGACCGTGAAAAATCTTGCTGAAAAGAGCTCCAATGCCCAGAATTTTTTGTTCATATGTACTCCTCAGAGTTTCCAATTTAAAATCTATAAAATTCCCCAAAGTGCACTTCAAAATACTGATTCTAACACGATAATTCATTACTCTACCGACAAGATCAGGAAATAGAGATTTTTACACATGAAGCCCCAAGCAAATCCTATAAATTTCACAAAGACGCCCTGTAAGTATCAAACAAACAATTGTCTTACAATATCTACCAGTCGAATCCAAATCCCCCGGTAGATCGTCTCCAAAGAATAGAGCGTGTTGATTGAGGGAGAGAGAGAGAGAGAGAGAGAGAGAGAGAGGAGGAGGAGGATGTGTCTCGTCGGGATGAATGGGGTGTTCCCGGGCTCGTGAACTCATTTTATTCCGTAAAAAATATAGGTTACAAGTGGGAGATCCAAAAAACTCGTTTTACATGAAAAGACTCTCCTATTTATATAGATGATAGGAAGACAAAAAAATAAATTTCAATATTATCCTTACTTTAAAAATGATTAGTACAAGATATTTTAATCTTTTGTGTTGGTGTGTACTGCTCGGTATCTCGTCGACCGCCGGATCTGCTCTTCTGTAGTTGGGAGAATCATCGGGTTCTGGGGGCCGGTAGGAGGAAATGCGCTCGATTGATGGAAAAGGTGGCCGATTGGAGGGAAAGGCGGCCCGTCGATCTTTTGGGAAGCTGGACTGGATCAACATTGAGTTGGCTGGCTGGGAATTTGGAGTGGCCAGTTGAAGTGGAGGCATGTGGAGAAACTAAACGAAAATCGCTAGTTGGAAGGTTTGGTGGGTTAAAGTGGCCGATCGGGTGGTCGCCTAATGGGGAGAATTGAGTGGGAGGAGTTGGATGTCGGTCAATGGATGGCCGACGGCGGTCGGCATGGATTTTGGTGGTTTGCTGGAGCGTCCAATTTTAGTATACACACCAATTTCTTGTATTGCTTCATTTTACCAGTACAAGCGTCCATATCCATCACTTTACTAGCTTATATTCATGGAATATTGTTATTGGATTATAATTGGCATGTGCTGTACATGATCTGAGCCTTTTTAACTAAAGCCCATTATTATTCCTAAGAGACGAATAGCATAAAGTGCCCCTCAAGAATCAGATTCTGTAATTTTTTATTGCTTTTCTTGCTCTATTCTAGTGCATGAGGATCCTTGTTGCAGCTATCTGTATGATCATGTGACTGAGAAATTTCTGTTCCTTTCCCAAATTTTTCCTGTAGAAAATGCTCCAGAATTTGACTTCATAATTGCTTTATTATTGTGATAATGATAGGAAATTTGTTTATATTTTGCTGGTTATAGTTATTATTCTTGGTCATTTATCTGCTATTTATTCAGCCTATATTTCATATATTTCTGCTATAAATCACTCTGAACTTTAGGAACATTTTTCTTTTATGAAAGAAGAGTTATTCTGCACTGTACCATAATCAGTATTGTATTCCTGTTCCACTCATGATTCCTTTTTTCCAATCTTTCTTTTCACTTAATCCCAGTAATTTCTTCTATTTATTTATTTATTTTGGAAATTCATAAACATACCATACAATTCTCATGTATTTACAAATCTAACGCCTAAAATTTTATATTCATGTGCGTATAACAACTTGGTGTCATAAACGTGTCGCTTCACAGAAGTTAGCGATAGTGATATTTTTTTATGCGATGTTAAAGATTTGAGCGTTATATGTGCAGATATGAAATTTTTGGATGTTTAGATATGTAAATACTTGAGAATTGTGTGGTGTGGATGTAAATACCCTTTTTTATTTAGTGCACCCAATTTATATATTGTAATTACCTTTATCCTGTTTTCTCTTTGTTGACATGACATTCCAACTAATTTGACTATTTATATTGTGAAGTGATGTTCATAATAGTCTAGGTTTTTATATTAATTGCAGCATTGTTCTTTAATTAAATCATGATTTCTTTATAGGCCTTCTTTTTGAATTCATTTTTGCTACTTCTATAAAGCAAGAAAATTATTAAATTAGAATCAAT